TCAGCAGTGACACATGTTGTGGCAGAAAAGTTCCTAAAGCCCACATCACCTGAGGTAGCCTGCCTGAGTGAGCCTGCTCCAGGTGGAAGAAGCCAGGTCCAGGGCACCCAGGGCTTCTTGCACTCTGCCCACGCAAGGCTGTTAAGGCAGTGAGGCCTCAGTGGGCTTCCCTGGTCCAGCACTACGATATTGGTGGGGGAAGGTAGCTAGTCAGCACTATAATATAAGGTATTTCTATTTTTCAAAATCACGTAAGAATGGCTGGAACCTTTTAATGGCAGAAACCACTTAGTAATTTCATGCCTCAACATACATTTGCGGTAAACTAGAATACGGAGGACCAAAATTGAACATTCTGCTGGAAGTTACCATATATACTCAAGCAGGATGTAACACCAAGCCTAAAGCCATTCAGTCCTTGTGTTTCAGACGTTCAGTGATGTTTTGCTGCTTGAGGATTATAGTAAGCAGCGAACTGAGGAGATGACAAAACTCAGCAGGTGCTGTTTTAAATAATTCCTTCGTATTAACTTTTAAACTTGTCATTTGTGGCCTTACCATAAAAGATAAAAGAAGAATGCATAAAATGTCAGTTATTTAAGACTGCCTGGTGTTTACATCAAAGATAAAAGTGTTTCCCTTAGAAATGTTCTCTGAGATATGAAGTTAATCCTAACTCTCCATTAGCAGGCCTGCCTGTCTGAGAGCAGGTTTCTGGTAATCCAGTTGGTTTCTTTCTTCTTCATCATTTCTTCTATATTAAGATGACACAGAGAGGTATTGTTTGCACCCCTGTTTGACATACAGTCAAGTGGCTTTAGCCAGTTGTCTTTCAATTGAGTTGAGGAAAGAACAGGTTTCACTTCATTATATGTCACCTGGCCAGATCTGATGACCAATTTGGATTTTTGAAAATAAAAATCTAAATGTGAGATCAGTGGATACTCCCACAGTAATCTAGCACAGAAGGCACCTTTTTTGGCTAAGATGATGGGTACTCTCAAATTCGCAGTGGTGAAGGGCTTTTTTTTTTCTAGGTTACAATCTATTAGGAATCAATAATTTTGTAAAATACAATCAATTATATAAAAACAATCACACAAAATACAAGGGCTAATTTATTACTACTAGTATATGCAACAACTAAAAAATTATTGCATGAAATTGCTATAAGCAATTCTCTGCTCACTTTTAGATTTTGCTGTCTGAATCAGTGAATCCTGAAGTCTGGCCGTGGCTGAGGACTGGACTTTGAGTAGCACTGCCCTAAGAGACTCCCTTGGTCACTATATCTCCTGCCTGAACTTTCTGAAGGGAAACAGCTGCTATTTGAATTAGTTTAGATAATCTCATGTTTGTAGGAAGCAAGACCAGGTAAGTTTTGAATGCCAATCCAGTTTGCTGATTCTTGACCTGGGTCATTTGGGTCCATGCCTGCTTATGGCTCTGTGCCTCTGAACAGACAGCAAGGTCTCTGGGCTCACACTGGGCCCTTGCATTTTGAGCCTTTTACTCAACATGGTTCTCCTGAGCTGCCTATGTTTGATGTTTAGAAATAACTTTCTTCTGACATTTGGCCTCTGTGGAATGTGGAGGGGAATATATGTACAAATTAGATGAGGTCTTATGAGAGATGTCCTAGTAGGGTCTTTCCTCTGGGAAGAAGACTTTCATTTTCTATACTATATTTCCTGGATTTTTAAACTGTAAAGACTATCTCTAATTATCATTAGACAGTAGGGATGGCCCTTGACTTAAGTAAATACTGACTTTCATTTTTAATTAAGTTTATTGGTACACTCTAGGTATGTATAATGATAACATTCATCATAGGGAATCTGTGCCTGTACATGATGTATCTTGGTTCTTTTTCCCCCATCCTCCTACCCGCCCTCAACCCCTCTTCTCTTCCTTATTCACAAAAGCTTTGCTTCCATTTTTTTCTTTTGCCTTCCTTTCTTTTTTTTGGTACCATTTACCAGAGACTAAACTCATGACCTTGCACTCGCCAGGCAGACACTGATGCCGCTGAGCTAAATCCCCAGCCCCCTGCCTTCCTTCCTTTCCCCCTTCTCCCTACCTAGTTCCCTTTCTTATTTGAACATTTTCCTCCTTTTTTTTTTTCTGGTACCAGGAATTGAACTCATGACCTTGCACTTGCCAGGCAGGCACTGTGGCACTGAGCTGTAATCCTGGGCTCTGAACATATTCTTCCTATTTCACAGTATCGATTATATATTTTGGTCCTTATTTACCCTTTGAGTTTCAAACACAGAAACTCAGAGTTTACCCTACAGAAACAATGAGATATTTATAAATGATCCATACGATTCTTAATTACTGTATTTCAAGTGTCTTATAATATACGTGTTACTATATAAATACTGATGTAGCCCTTGCTTAATATTTTTTGTAACAGTACTTTCACAAACAATTTTCCCTAGCTCAATGCAAGTGTTTTTACAAGGACATCAAACAATCTTACTTCATCAGAGCTTCATTTCCATTTTTTGTTTTTTGGTTTTTTTTGCAGGGCAGTAGTAGGTAACTTAGTATTGCTAGGAAAACCATAAGAATTGTCTACCAGTTTTCTTTTTGTCCCATCTTTTCATTTGTATCTTAATTAATTTCATGATTTTGATTTCTTCTTGGAAGCCGTCATTTTTAAAAAATTGTTATAAAGCAAGTTTGGCTGATCTGCTTAATAAAAATGTATATCACAATGGAAAATATCACGATTAATGGCTAGATGTCATAAAATATTGTCTTTCTTTCTTCTTTCTTTCTTTCTTTCTTTCTTTCTTTCTTTCTTTCTTTCTTTCTTCCTTCCTTCCTTCCTTCCTTCCTTCCTTCCTTCCTTTCTTTCTTTCGAATATTATGCTATACTTTTAAATAAGTTTCTGGCTAAAGGTCCTAGGTTTCCTAAGCAAAGCTGCCCTTGATAGGTTTTAGAAGTCATGTTTTCTATTCTTCACTCTGAGACATCTAGGCTAACTTCTACTGTGGGGACAAACATTGAATGACTAAACCAGGTGCGCACAGAAAATATGTAGAATTTTCAAAATTGTTCAGATGATACCATAAGTCATATACAGACAAGATCAAAGGAGCAGCTTGGCTTTAGGCAGCCTCCCCAGTGGAAGACGTCCCAGGATACAGATACTTGTCTTTTCCCTCACATCTACTCATATGGCTTCATGGTTTACTTCTCAAATTCAGTTCCATAATTCAAATATTTTTACTCTGTATTTCTCTCTTTGCCTTAATTCAACAGACCTAAAATAAAGCCAATCATCAAATCTTATAGCTGGATGAGATCCCAGGGGACATTTAATCTTGACTCATGGCTCCATGAATACAGAGCCTTCCAAAAGGACAGAGATCTCTCATCTTTTTTTTCATACCTCCACTTTTAGGACACTCTCTTCTTCCCAGAATAGTGTCTTGGGTCCCTGAATGCCATTCTATGCTCAGGTTTTCCCAGCCAGGAAATTGTATCATTCAGTTCCTAGGGTCTTTCTCAGCACCTCCGATTACTCGTGAGACCCTCATACCTAACCAAGTCCGGGTGGCTCAGGCCTAAGCTTTTCAACAGCACTCTCCCACAACCCCATAATTCATAAAATGTAACTGCCAATTTATGATAATAATATTGTAAGTCAAGAGCTCTACCTAGCCAATTGAGGATTTAAATTTTCTGTTTCACATGGTATTTTTGATAAGACACTCAAAAGTAGTAATAAATTAGAAAAAAAGTTATAGTTCATTAGCAGATAAAGTGATAATCATACAGCATCACTTACAGGCTTCGCAATGAGAAAAGTGCTATATGTAATAGGAAATATATTTTGGAGAAATTTTGGTAAAATCTATATGGTTCACAGGGCAAGGCTCATGCTTTTTAAGTTTCTCACGTTTCTTCTTACCCTCTACCGTGTAGACCTTGTCTAGCTTTCCCTACATAAAACACCAACATAATCTTCCTTTCTTATACTAATAATTCTAGCACCTTAAGATGAACGGAAGATGCAAAAGTAGAACTGAGTTTCACTTACTTTCACATTATCTGAGAAGGATGGGCGGAAACAGGACCAGTGAATGGTACATATCACATCTCCACACACTTGGCAGCAGAAATATGCCAGAACGTGAGTAATACGGAGTTCACTGAGGTGCAGATTTCTTTCTCAGATGCGACATTAGAGGAAAATGACTTGGCGACGAGTATGTCACCAGTTCCTAGACTAAGTTTCTGAAAGCTGCAGGGCCGCAGTGAAACTTACTGCACAGGAATGACTCATACTGCTGTGTAGAAGTCTGACTACAGAAACCCCCAATAGGCTAATCCTCCTCACGCTGCATCTCTAGTTAGGAACACATTAACGTCCAGGAAATGTAGCATTAACCTACGAGAGGCCTGCTGCTTCCCAGAGGATTCAACAAGGCAGAAACCGATACAAAGAACCAGGAAGATTCTTCTCTCTTATTCTGATCTTTAAAAACATGAGCACTCAAAAGAAATGAAAACGAGGACTTGAATAAGTGTATGTACATGCATGTTCCCAGCAGTCATCTATCACACCAGCCTAAAGGGGGAAACGGCCCATCAGTCTATTCATGGGTGGATAAACAATTTGTGGTAAGTACATAAAAAGGACTAATAACTGACACATGTTGGAGTGTGGACCGACCTCAGAAACAGTAAATCAGTAAATGAAAGCAGCCAGACATAAAATACCATGTATTATGCACTCTATTTATATGTAATGTCAAGAGCAGTTAATTCTATATGCATGGAATGCAGGCTGGTGATTGCAAGGGCTAGAGGGGAGGAGGAAAGAAGAAATATAGAAGCTTTAGTCTTAAATGATGCTAATTGGGCAGCGCTGGACAGAAGCAATGCTGCACATTATGAATGTATTAGAGCCACTGACTTGTTCAGTTTATAATGGTTATGAAGAAGAAAAACAATGAGCTTGTCCTAAAATCCAAGCGCTTACCTTGCATACCATGGATGTCTTTGCTCCAAGCCTGGCAGCCTGGACACACTGGTTGGCACCTTTCCCTCCAAAGCCAATAAAAAACTTATGTCCATGGATGGTTTCTCCAATTTTTGGCAAACGAGCAGTAAGACTATTATAATTTAAAAACAGAAAAAAGAAAAAGCACATTAGTAACTGAAAGTGGCTTAAGTTCTTTAGAAGAGGAAAGGTTATCTGATGCTGTGAACTTTAGTCTTAATGAAGAGCCTCCCTTTCACACAGAGCGCAGCTGCCTGATGAAATTTCTCTCTCCCCTACAGCCCATGCTGTAACTCTACTTCTGAGGTCTGCTGATGGGGACCTTGGATTCACACTCCCATTTCCAGTGCTCAGCACAGTCTCATTCACAGTGGGGTTTGGCACATAGGGTCAGTGTATTTCTGTATGGGCTGATCTGGTCACCTTAACAAGCAGCGGGAGGTATGCCAGGATTCTAGGGATCGTGTACATGTCGGTAAGGAAGAGACACTGCAATTCCACGGAGTAGAGATCTTGTTTCCTTGTTAGAGGTGGGATGCTGACAGGGCAGGATCAGGTTTTGGTCCCAGTGTACCACATTTTATGTACTTACATGAAAGGAACATGCATTTAAAACAATGGCTCTTTAAAGAGTTTAATTTTTACTATGGAAAAAATTTCACACATATAAAAGTAAAGCAAATAGTATATGACTTCCCTTACCCCTACACACCTATCACCAAGATTCAATATTATCAACTCACAGGCAGTCCTGCTTCATTCTAAACCTTCGATGACTTCACCAAAAGCTAAGTATTTTATTGTAATGTTATTGCCTGATGACAGTATGAAATGAGGCAAAAAGAATAAACGGTTGTTCCGAGGTAAGATTTTCCTATCTGTGAAGACAGAAGATGTGAAGAAACAAAATCTTTTTTTTTTCCCTTGGTACTGGGAATCAAACTCAGGACATTGCACTTGCAGGGCAGGTGAGCTGTATCACCTGCTATATTGTGTCACTGAGCTATATCCCTGGCCCGACGAAACAAAATCTTTGAAGGATGAAAGGAAATGACCAACTTTAAAATGGAAAAGAACAACTGGAGATGTAGCTCACTGGCACAGTGCTTGCCGGGCAAGCACGGGGCTCTGAGTTCGATTCCTGATACCAAAACCAAAACAAACAAACAAAAAAATGGAAAAGGAGTTCTGGGAGTAAGGGCACGTGGAGAAGGAGACCTCTGTCCTAGCCACAAAGTGGCCAGTGGCTAGAAGGAGCAGATGGAGAGGAATCAGGTATAAACAGAAAGGTTAATTAGTTTAGATGGGAAAGGCTAAGAGAAGTTTTCAATGATAAGTTGACTGTGAACTATAAATTTATATTAATTTATAGGCTATGATATAGCTGAAACCATTGTAAGGTATATTCCTGGAGTAACAGATCAGTGCCAGTTTCCGTAGGTCACTAACACATTGTTTGCAGGGCATGAAGCCTGTGAGCTTCCTTTTGGTGGTTCTAAAAGTGTTAATAAATTGGGCTAAACTACTCCATTCCCGAGTACCACACTGTCAAATACGGTTGAGATTCAAAAGAAGTTCATCAATAATTTGAAAACATCCCACTCCTCCTTTCAATTCTATTTTTATCTTACATTCTAAATGCATGTATAGTACTGATGAAGAAAATATATATCTAGAAGGTTCACTTCTCAAAAAGGTACTCAATCAAGAGAAAAATGGTTTTAATGTAATGTTATTATCCTGTCATTTAATTTAGCAATGACAAGTGATGATGAGATTTTGATTTGCATCAGAAATCTTAAACATTTTAGGATTCTGTTATGAACAGGCATTGATGAGTAATCTGTGTGAGTAACTATGTGAGTTCTTGGCTTAATGATGCCATGACAAACAACACTCATAACCACCTTAAAAAGAAAAACCCCAAAGTGGCTAAAAACAGGCCGAATAACTTAATTAGTGAAACTGTCACTGAAGAAATTTATGTCTTTCACTATATTTATACTTAGAACTGGGTCAAATTCACTGGTTTGGATCAAGTATCTCTTTTATTATCAGCCGTGGGAAGCCATGAGAATTATGTGGCCAGATTATTATTGGGATGAGTATATGTAGGGAGGGTAAAATCAGGGGTATGGCATATGTGTTTGATGTGGGAGCAGATGGCTGGGATTTAAACTCATTTCTAAATACATAAATGATATTAACACAAGCACTGCATTTATTCAGCAATCAAGTTCACCACTCCTTTGGTATTTTACTATTTTCTTTCCTCTTACTTCTGTAGTTTCCCTGCCCCTGCCTTTCTTTTTCCAATGCTAGACTTTCCTTACACGAGGACGGGAACCAAATCTACGATGTCTTCCATTTTAGCCAAAGTGCTTAGCATGAAGATTACAGACATTTGCAGAGGGAATGAATTTTCTGAAGTCTCCCTTTGTCTCTTTTTTCGGTCTCCCCTGCATAGCATCCATTCTTGCTTCTGCACTGAGGTTATGAAGCTGTTGATCGGGGCAGAAGACAGAAACTGGAAGAGGTGACTATGATTTTATGGTGTTAACAATTCCAGATTTTACCACATTTTCCCCACTGATTCCCAATTTTAGCAACATCCTCCTTCCACAGGCAAGAACTTCAACCTCAGATCGTATCAATCCTTCATGTATGTAGGAACTCAAATGTTGTGGTATATTCTATAGGGCAAAATCCAATTGCTGACAGTGGGATAGAATCCATCTGATGCAAGTAACAGATGAGTGAAAAGAGCATGTTACAGAGCACAGAGCTTATTTTATGATTTGTGACTTTTTAAAAAAGGAGAAAGATGTATGTACAGTCATGCAATGCTTCATGACAGGAGTATGTTCTAAGAAATGCACCAAGTGCATTTGTATTGTTTTTGGAACCTCACTTATATAAATTAAGATGGCAATATAATCCTGAAAGCTTTTTTTTTGGTTGTTTTTTGTTTTTGATTTGGAACCAGGAATTGAACTCGGGACCTTGCACTTGCCAGCAAGGCCCTTATGCCCCTGAGCCATATCCCCAGCCCTGATGGCCATGTACTCCTATGGGGACCATCACTGTGTATGCGGTCAGCGCATGGCTGGTAGGAATGTCATGCGTCAAATGTGTATGTAAATGCATAGGAAGTGAAATGTGTCCACAGAAAAGGTGGGAGCCAGACAGTTCATGTTTTGTTTTACATTCTTATCACAAGACTGTGTAAGTGCATTATGGTACACCACTGTTACTACTGCAGATTAGTGTGCTCTTGCGATCTTATTTCCTAAGTACACATTCTTCATGGGCACTGACTGGCTCCTTGTAGGTGCAGCCCAATCGATTCTGGCCCCGTGCTGTGTTCTTCCTATTGCAGGGCTTCTTTGTTTCTGTGCTGTGGTTCTTCAGGCTGTCCTGAAGGACTGAACTACCAGTTTCTTGGAGGTGTGGCCAACTCAAGAACATCAAGTGACTTTATAAAGGGGTCTTTTTTTTTTTTTTTCCTGTTTTGATCTCTGCCACTTGTTCTTGCTTCCTCTAGTATAGTGCTGAATAGAACGTGTGGACTTAAGTCTTTGTCTTACACTCTGCTTCTTTTTAAAAAGACTAAGACAGCTGGGCATGGTGGCCCATGGCCATAGTCCTGACCCTTGGGAGGCTGAGGCAGGACTGCCCTGAGTGGAGGCCAGCCTGGGATAGTTGGTGAGTTCAAGGTCAACCTGAACTACATAGCAAAACCGTGTTTCACAAACAATCAAATACAAAAATCAAAACAAAGTAAAACACTGCATGTTTGCAGTGTTAAACATGTATTGCATGTTTAATTTTTTTAAAAAGTAAATTTAGAAAGTGGAGAAGAGAGCAACTAGAAAGTTAATTACAAACAGGCAGAAGCATTTCTGAATTATAAATCCTAATTTTCTTTGAATTAGGCTTTCCTGACATTTTTCCCTAATGAAACCAGATTATATTCAGGGTTAAGAAAGGACCCGCACAGAGCACAACCCCCTGGATGTAAGGAGTCTATGATTTGCCCTAATTCAAACGTGAAGTTTAGCAGGGCACTGAACACAGCTTCAAGGGCTCAAAGGAAAAGAAAAATAAAAAAACGAGTACTGGTAACAAAACAAAACACTTGCTACCATTTAAAAGTGAAAACAGGCTGGGCGTGGTGATGCAAGCCTATAATCCCAGCACTTGGGATGCTGAGGCAGGAAGACTGCAAGTTTGAGTTCTGCCCAGGCCACTTAGAAAGAACCTGTCTCAAAAAGGCTGGGAATGTAGCTCAGTGTGAAGGCCCCGACCTTAGGTTCAAAAAACATTAAGAGAAAAAACCTTTGAGGGTAAAACTCAAACAGAATTGGCTTAACACATGTCGTTGAATGGAAGACAGGTTCATAATTTTAAAAAGCATTGTGTGCTTGAGTCGGAGAGAAAGGAGTAGTGACCCCTGTTCCTGGACGGCCCTGTAGTCCTCCTTGCCACAAGCCTCGTGGCTACAGCCTGGAGTTTGAGGCAGGAGGCCTGAACCATTTACTGATTATATTACCTTGACAGCTTTTCCCTCTTTGAACCAGCTTCTCTTCTTGAAAAAACAGTTTAATAATACTTGTCAACTCCTGAAACGGCTGGGTTTTGTGCTCTGAGTTAATTCACTGACAGGTGTTACCAGAACAACTTATCAATTGCTTTTAACTTCTTGACAATGAGGTGGTTGTTAGCGACCTTAGAAATTATTCCAACCAAAGGAAGGAATGACCTGGTGAGAACTGGACGAGAAGTCCTTCAACCTAATGGTGACATTAATACTGACTGGCCAAAAGCTAAGTCAGTCTTGCTTTTTGGTTTTTCCATCAGCTTTTCCTTTTTCTGGCTACACGCCTCTAACATCCCGTCAGTCTCCATAATAGGAGATTGTACATTAGTTTATACCCAATTAAAGTTCATTACTCTAATTTATTATTCCTACGCCCTGTATTCTTCAACCATATCTGTTCTTCTCAGCATTTGCGTATGTCACATTAAAAGGTGAGAGTAATTTCAAAATCAAGCTGTCATTTGCAACAATAGGGATGAACTCGGAGGGCATTATGGTAAGTGAAATAAGCT